AAAACTACTTACGTACCGAATTTTAAGCAAATCGGACCATAAATGCGATTTTTTGGAATAGATCGGTCCCTGGTCCACTTCTCGGAAAAAAATGATCGCATATGCTAATACATGCTAAAAAGCTATCTGCGCACCGAATTTTAAGCAAATCGGACCGTAAATACGTTTTTTGGAATAGATCGGTCCCTGGACCACTTCCCGGAAAAAATGGGTCATATATGCTAATATATGCTAAAAAGCTACTTACTTACTAAATTTTAAGCAAATCGGACTATAATAAGATTTTTTCGAATAGACCGGTCCCTGGTCCACCTACCCGAAAAAAACATGATGGTTACCGAAAGCTATTCGTATACAAAATTTCATGAAAATCGGAGCAGCCGTTCGCGAGATTACCTGTTACAAAAAAGAGGGACTTCTCTTTATATAATTAGTATAGATATTCACACATTTAATGTAAAGTACTACCTCTTTTATTTTTCATTCAATTATTCAATATGTTAACTGTTATTCAATGGAATATTAATGGTTATATTAATAATTATTATGAACTTGAAATATTAATCAAAACACATAACCCCTCGGTTATATTATTAAACGAAACACACATTCCAAACAATATACCAGCTCATACTCCAAAAGCCTATATTGGTCACTTTTATAACCTTCCATCCAACACATCAAGCAAACAAGGTATTGCAATCCTGATTAGAAGAAACATACCGCATAATGTTCTTCCAATATCTTCTTCAAATATCTCTTCCATTTCCATAGAAATTCCCTCCCCCATCAAAATCATAATAATCTGTGCCTATTCTCCTCCACAACAAACATTCACTTCAGCAGATTTCTTTAACCTTCTCCCTTCTTGCTCTACTCCCTTCTTACTAGCTGGTGACTTCAATGTCTGGTGTCCTCTTTGGGGTTCGGCCTCAACTAACTCCAAGGGCCGTATAATTGAAGATGCTATACTTAGTTCTGACTGTTTTGTACTTAATGACGGTTCCCCTACCCACTTCTCCACCCATTCCACCTTCACACATATCGACCTTACCCTTTGCTCTACTTCCCTCTCCCCTAAAGTTGATTGGCATTGTTTAAATGATCTGCATGGTAGCGATCATTTTCCTATCAAAACTAAAATCTCGTCTCAAAACTCCATTTTTTTCAAACCCAGAATATTTTTTAGATTCCGTCCCTTCTTCAATTAATACTAATCTGGAAACTTCTAGAATTCAAAAAATAATACGATCTGCAGCCAACCAATCTATACCACAAACCTCTCCCAAACCCCGTAATCCCAACCCTCCTTGGTGGGACAATGAATTATCTTTGCTTAGACTGTATAAGCAACAAACATGGCATCAATTCAAGCATAATCGCTCGTCATCAAATCTTGTGGCTTATAAAAAAGCGAATGCTATTTTTAGAAGAAAGGCCAAACAAGCCAAAATTAAATCCTTCCAGACATTTACCAACAGCATAAATTCCTCTTCCGATCCTAAACTAATTTGGGCCAACATAAAAAGACTATCTGGTAACCAATCTTTTTCTCCTGTTCTTTCGCTCAACTCCTCACAAGGCAATCTACTCTATCCACAGGATATAGCTTTAAAATTTGCTAATTATTTTTCCAACAATTCTTCCGACTCTAATTTCTCACCTGAATATTCGTCTAACAAACACTCTTTACTGTCCTACAATTTCTTACCATCTCCCTTATCCCCTTCAGCCAAACACCTTGACTCAGATATAACTTTATTTGAACTCCAACTTGCTCTAGCTGTTGTCAAAGGTAAAACTCCTGGCTTAGATAAAATTTCCTATCCNAAGCCAAACACCTTGACTCAGATCTAACTTTATTTGAATTCCAACTTGCTCTAGCTGTTATCGAAGGTAAAACTCCTGGCTTAGACAAAATTTCCTATCCCATTATCAAACATCTCCCTTCTCTTCTACTCTTCCGCCTTGTCAATCACTACAACAACATTTTTCGAACTGCTAGCATCCCCCAAGTCTGGAAAACCAGCGCAATCATCCCTATTTTAAAACCTGGCAAGCCTCCTTGCGAAGTTACCAGCTATCGTCCGATTTCCCTTTTGCCCTGCCTTGGAAAACTTCTAGAAAAAATTATTGCCACTAGACTTTCCTGGTTTCTTCAATTCAATAAGCTCATTCACTCTAATCAGGTAGCATTCAAAAAAGGTCAAAGCACTATCGACGCCCTTTTAAATCTTGACCATTTCATATGTGATGCTTTATCTAATAAAAACCATGTTTCGCTTCTTTCTCTTGATTTTGAAAAGGCGTTTGATCGTGTTGGCATACACGTAGTTTTAAGACAGTTAATAAAATGGAAAGTAGGGTCCCGTATATTTAATTTCGTAAAATCTTTCCTTTCTAAACGCAAATTCACAGTTCTTATTTCCGGCACTTCTTCCCCCACTCTTCCTTTAGATAACGGCACCCCTCAGGGTTCACCGCTATCGGTTATTTTGTTCACCATAGCATTTGATGAAATTAGCTCTACCCTATCCAATTTCCCCACAATACAGCATCAACTATATGCTGATGACCTTCTCCTATTCTCAAAATCTTCTGATCTATCTTCTATATCCTCTACCTTTAAAGAAATCCTTTCCCAATTATCCTTGTGGTCACTTTCGTCAGGCGCCTCAATTTCGTACTCTAAATCCAAAATGCTTCACATTTGTAGAAAACATAATTGTAATTTCCCAGCAATCTCATTTAACAATGTAAATATTTCATGTTCTCCTACACTTAAGTTTCTTGGAATAATTCTAGATAATAAGTATGTATTTAAACAACATTGTCAGTATATTAGAAATAGAATTATTAAAAATACCAATATTGTTAAGTACCTATCATGTAAGCGCTCGTTCATTGGCCCAGCGCTGCTCATTAATGTTGTCAAAGCACTCGTACTCTCCGTCATCAATTATGCCCTTGAAATCTATGGACATCATTCTAAAAATCATCTAAAATTGCTTGCTGCCCCGTATCACTCGGCTGTAAGGAGATCACTCCGAGCATTCCCAACGTCACCTATTAAAAATATATTAGCGGAATCTGGTCTTCCCTTTCTAAGGGACAATATGGAAGATAGCACCAGCAAACTATACCCTAGGATCATCCTTGGTTCCAATGATACACTACAAAATGCGTTGTTTTCATTATCATCTCGTATTCGACCTCCAAAAGTTGAGTCAGCTATATACAAATGCGTAATTTTTGCCAAAGAGAACCACCTTCCGTTAAAACCTCCTAAACTACGTAAACTTTATCATCCACCTTGGTTGATTCCGAAAAATACATTCATTGACAAACTGGTTCGGCTACCCAAAATCTCCACACCGAATGCGATCTATATCTCAGAGTTTCGTGAAGTTAAGTATTCACTAAAGCACAATAATTGGAAACACCCAAAAACATCCAAACCTCTTTTGCTGTGGTTAGCGAGAAAGGAAAGCCAATTTCCTATGGACTACTTTTTCCATTTTGCTAAATTTTTATTGCTGAAGCCACCGCTATTTTCCATGCTGTTCTACACGCCGCAAAAAACTCAGGAAAATATGTTATATGTACCGACAGCTTATCATGTTTTCAAGCCATACAAAATTGCAATAACCACACTAATATCATCAAATCTACTAGAGAATATCTTATTTTACATGCAAAAAAGATTAAATTAATGTGGATCCCTAGCCACACTGGGTTAACAGGAAATGACTACGCTGATAAATTAGCTAAAGATGCATCCAATATGCCCACATTAACATTCANGCCACACTAATATCATCAAATCTATTAGAGAATATCTTATTTTACATGCAAAAAAGATTAAATTAATGTGGATCCCTAGCCACACTGGGTTAACAGGAAATGACTACGCTGATAAATTAGCTAAAGATGCATCCAATATGCCCACATTAACATTCAGCTTCTTTACAAAATCTGATATATATCGACTCATCAACCAAAAGAGACACTCTAAATTGGCCCTTGATTGGATTTCTTATAATCATCAATATTCAATAGTGAACACAGCCAGGATCAAACCAGATTACCCATCAACAATACCTACAAATTTACTCACACCCTACATACGTCTTCGGATTGGACACACTATAGTGACGCATGCTCACCTCCTTGGAAGAAATAGAACCAACATCTGTCCATTTTGCGACTCAACAACAACTGTTTTTCATCTACTGGAATTTTGCCCAACACTGCAAGATAAGAGGCAATGCAATTTTAATACAGATCCAGTTTCTCTTCTTTCGAATACAACTGAGGAAAATATAAGAACCATATACCAATTTTTAAAAGAATGTGACCTACTGAGAAGAATTTAAAACAAAACATTTATTCAACGGACAGCTGATAGCCTCTGATGCTAGCGCTGCATGATTAGGTTGTACATATGTTAATAACATTTTATAAGCTTTAATAAATAAATCAAAAATATAAATAAATTTTTTAATGTAACAAAACTGTTTTACGCAAATTTAAATTTCGTTTGTTTGAATTTCGGTAAAGTTATGTCAAAACTCAGCTGTTTTTCACACAGAATTTGTTTCTGTCAACACATTGCCGAATTGTTTTTGTAATCTGACTTTCGTCAGTTTTTTTGTTTGTATTTCAAATGAAAAATATAGGGAAAAAACGTAGTATCATACGGGCATTAGCAGCTCAGAAACAAAAATTACAATAACAAATTATACGCACATTGACAATCAGTACAAAACAAAATTGCAGCAAACACATCATTTAAACAAAAGGTACAAAGTCATCGTGAAATCATCGGATCCGATAAACCACCTTGTATAGATTCGCCTGCACTGTACATACTAAAATTATTTTGTATGCTTTCAAACTCTTCGCTCCAGTAACTATTCTAAATCTGGATTTTTCACTATTTATGCACTATTAGAATATACATTCTATTAATATTATCCAAAAAGTTATTGCATTAATAAATTGCTACTTTATTAGTAGAAACATTTGGTGCCAAATACCATCTACAATATGATGATGACAGACTTTAAACAGCATATTCCAAAATTGTTTAACATAGCTTATCAACATAGAGAAATAATATAAAGTGTGCAAGCCAGTTTGATGTACGCTTATTTCAAAGCAAAATTTGAGTTTCTGGCATTATTCCTTGGTTTTGTTGCATACCTCTGCCTGATTTCGGTATATCTCCTCGTCATGGATGGACTGTAAACATCAGTAATGCAACGTTGTGTGTACTTTTGCACAAGCGACAAGAATTTATTGACGCTTGTTTTTTTTTGCTCAAATCAAAAAACTTCATAATTTCTCTCTCAAAAGGGTTAACATGAAAGTCAAATGAAGGAAAAAATTATGAAAATAAATTGCCAAATAAGTGACCGAAATATAATGTCATTGCTAGCTGGCACACTTAGGACCGGTTACTCAATGTCTGGTTAACACTAATCTCCGGTTAACCATAGTTATCGACGTTATCGACTCCCTGTTGTATGCATGGAGTCGAAGACATCGATAACGATGTTTAACCGCAGATTAGTGTTAACCGGACATTGAGTAACCGGCCCTTAATATTATTATGCTTATAAATATTTAACAATTGTCGCCACTTCCATACCTTCCGAAAATTTCGAAGCCTTTCGAAGAAAAAACTGGGATTTGTAACATTTCACTGTGAGTTATTGCTTAAACACTGATCGAAGTTACGATTGTTTCATTTTCTTGTTGTATACTTTTAATTGAAAGAAAATGTTGCTATATTCATTCGATGCATCAAAAATATCGATGTTTTTATACGATACATCGATATGTATCGATGCTATATTTCGATGCATCAAATCGAAGAAAACATCGATGTATTTTTTTGACTTGCATCCCTAAATCGCGGTACCGCTAATCCGCTCTTTGTGAATTTGACAGCATCAGCTGTGTGTGTGACGTCATCTTGGTGCAATTGTTGATTGAGGAAAACCAAATAACGATTTAACTGGGTGCGGTTTAGTTATTTGCCCAATGATTTCGGGCTGTTGTGTCCGAATGGGTGACCCGATCAAAAAAATTTTACACACACTTGTAGTCAAGGGTCTACACTTTATTCTAAAACCTAATTTTGTAATTTGCGGTCACTAATTTATTAATAAATTTGGTCTGAAAAATGCACTTTTTTGTGAATTTCGGAGTGAAATGTACTACGGAAATGTACTGTGGATGGCGTAGCCGGAGTTATATGCACAAGAAATGTGGAATACCTTTGACAATAGAATGGTGTTCTGCACAAAAATACTGTTTATCGAGTTTACATTTCCGGTGTCAAAATGCTAGTTTAAGACCATTTTCCAATGGTTCCCCTGTGGTATGTGGAAGGTTTCGAGGGATCAGGTGTGACTTTTTACAAAATGTGAACTTATTGCCGTAAACAGAATTGCAGCGGATAGCGGGTAACGGGCCGACGGGTACCCGCTGTCAAAATTAGAACACATTGAATGGCATGAAATTGCACAGAATTGCGGCGGGGACGGATTTCTTGCCGTCGGTTATTTTTACGGCGGGAAATTATTTAGATTCATTTCTATTTTTCCCGTCGGGCCGAAGACTCAGGGTTGCTTTTCTGACCATTTCATGTCAATTTGGTTGTTTACAAACAAAAGCAGGCAAACAACAAGCAAGCAATATTTATTAAATTTCAGCAATATATTTAATTTAAAAAGAAGTTCAGTTTTATTCAGTTGGAACAATGAGCTTCAACGAGTTGCTGATAGAGGAAGTGCGAAAATATAGATGTATCTACGACTTATCTCGGAAAGACTACCGAAACGTGCAGAAGAAGGACCAAATTTGGGAGGAGATTGGGAAAGTGGTAAATGCAAGCTGTAAGTATTATGAAGTGCGCAATGTGGGAGGTAGTTTCATGCTCGAGACAGGTCATGTGGCCACCGGGAAATACAAGCTGAATCTCGTGACAGCCGCCGTGCCGTAGAGCTGCTGTGGTGCCCGCTGGATTGTTGGTGGAGCTGGTGTTGCTGTTGTTATTGGTGCAGTTGTTGTTGTTGACGATGCTGCTGGCACTGCTGCCTCCAATCTTCTACATCAACGCCAGCATTCCACGTCCGCAGTTTTAGCTTTAAAATGTTTCGAAGTGCGTTCCCACAAAAGTGCGTTCCAGCGGTAGTAAGGTTAGGAGGTTTTACAGGAAAAGCTGTTTTCATCTTTAATAAACCATATGTGACGTGGGGTACGGGAAAAACTTTTCCTGTAAAACCTGCCAATCTTACTGCCGTTGGAATGCACATAATAATTTAGATCACTTATATTTACTTATTTGAGTATATTTATTTTCTATGGAATAACATACTTAGCGGACAGTTGTAGACGGCGATGGAAGACTCTTCGGGACACATATAAAAAAATAAAGCGTGGTAACGAGCTAGCCTCCGGCAGTGGCGCACCAGTACCCAGTAAAAAATGGAAGCTCCAAGAGACATTATCCTTTTTGGATGATTGCAAAGATTCGAGGCCGTAAGTTTGCATAAGTAAGAATAGGTGCCGTTGTGCTATAAAAAAAATAAAAGGTGGGTGTGGTTCGCCCTTTCCCCCACTGATTCTAAGTGTAAAAACAATTGTTGTGCAAATCAATAGGTGATGTGTAAGAGAGGGGTAAAAGTGAAATTTTCTAAATTTTTAAGAGCTTATATTTCGAAATGTTTTGAAATGATTTTAATTTTACGGTTTCAAAGGAAATTAAAATACTTTTTATCTATATGGATATTTATACATATATATATTACATATGTACATATTTCGAGAAAAACAAAATACCAAAGTAATGCCATTTTTTATAAAGATTATCTATTACTACGTTTATACCTTAGCTATTTGCAGTGAAAAGTTATTGTTCAATATTGCCTGATATAAAAAGGCAATAATATGACCACCACCACCTTTGATATATAATTTTATATAGTTAGGTATGTATGACCCAGATATAATAAAAAAACGCGTTTTAGCATATAGCATATAAAACATAAATCTTTATAAAAAATAGCATTACTTTACATATGTAAATATGTAATATATATATGTATAAATATCCATATAGATAAAAGGTATTTTAATTTCCTTTGAAACTGTAAAATTAAAATCATTTCAAAACATTTCGAAATATAAGCTCTTAAAAATTTAGAAAATTTCACTTTTACCCCTCTCTTACACATCACCTATTGATTTGCACAACAATTGTTTTTACACTTAGAATCAGTGGGGGAAAGGGCGAACCACACCCNCAACTGTAAAATTAAAATCATTTCAAAACATTTCGAAATATAAACTCTTGAAAATAAAGGGCGAGCCACACCCACTTGTTCTTTTTTTCTAGCTCAACGGGGACTATTCTTTACTTGATCCTGTATGATAATAGATCATTCGATACGCTTAT